CCCCAAAACCCCAAAACCCCAAAACCCCAATTGTGATAAGTAAATTTGAAGGTATTAAAATATAACACAATTAAGTTTCTGTTCTTCTTGATTGCTCCATTCATCCATTTGACTCTTATAAGCCTCTTCTATAAATGTGTTGTTTTAACATTAATTCAGCTTACTTGAGTTTATACTTGAAGAAGATCCGTTCAGATTATGGAAGCTATTTGAGGATGAGAGTCGATCAATTCTATCAAGAAAGTCCTTCATTCCTCGATCTAAATAAGTTAAAATGATGGAATACTTACACTCTCTTCATGCATCAAGAGTTTTCTTCAGCATCATATTGCATTTTCCTTCATTAATCTCCTCTGCAACTTGTGTGACTATTTCAGGAGGTATTTCTTTATTAGAAATGGCAATTTTATATACTTTCTTTTCAAAATGGTTTTTGATTAAGTTATTTAGCACTTCTGAAATGAGCAGTTCCATATCTGTCCTCTTTCCCTTGGGATAACCCAAGCTCTTTCACTTATAAAGTTAAATTGGACTCTTACTGATTGAAGTTACTTTAGAAATCTATAAATTTATAGTATTTGTTCTTGAGTTTTCTAGGATATGATGCTTTCCTTACTCTGATTGCTTGCTTTGAGGTACCGCCTTCTTAAACTCCTTCCCAAGAAAGTGCTCCTTAAACTTTTTAGTAATGTTGTTCCAAGTTGGGTGCACTTCGGATGAGATATTATTCTTGATTTTAAACACATGGAGGAAGATGACATTGTTCATATAAAACGTTTTTTTGGATCTTCTATACGTAAATTTACCCTGTCCTGCATTTTTATGCATGAACTAAGCTTTTAGCCTTTAAAATGTTTAATTTATCTCATAATTTTCTGAAGAGAATTCCCAAGTTCTAATGATTCTGAAGAGGCTCCCAAAATGAATGGTACAAACCTAAAAGTTGATTTTTGGCTGGGATCTGATATTCCTTTCAAACTTGATGAACTTCCAAGACTCCATTCAAACAAGGGTTCATCAGAAATTTGTGAGATTTTGAAAGAATTTGCAGATAGTAATCCGGACCTTTGAGGGTATGAACAATGTGACCTTAATGTAGGAGGATTACTTTGAGAGATCATAGAGAAATTTCGGTGAGCAGGTTTGGATCGGTTAGTAAGTGTGCTATTTCGTCTTCTAGACCATCTTGAAAATGATCTTTGACTTGAAATAGACCTTTTATATTCTGATCTTGATCGATTTTGCTGCAACTCATTCCTTCTCATCATCTTTCTCTCTTCCCTCTTCGCTACCCTCCTTATAATTTCCCTCTTCTTTTTCTTCTGGTTCCTTTTTTCTTTCATTGTGGCTACTTTAACATTCAGTTCTTCTACTTCCTTCTTTCTTTTTGTTCCGCTTCAGCTACAGCCCATATTTAATAAATATTATACTCTCCGAGTTCCATAAGCCCTTGTTTAAATGGGGTTTTGGGGTTTTGGGGTTTTGGGG